GTAAGTTCACTTGGTGCCTTATGTTTCTGCCTCTGAGCAAGCACATTGCTGCCTCTCTCTAAGGATCCAGGTGTTTATATTGAACCTAATTACAAGAGCTGGGGGAAGACAGGTGCTCCTTAGCCTACTGTGTGAGGGGCCCAGTCCAATAGGCATACTCAGAGGCAACTTAACTCAACACAAATGAAGAAGGAGTAGCAGGCGCTATTTCATAACCTTTAGCCCAGTGGTTTTACTTTCCTTATGAAAATCCAAGCAGTTTTCATCAAGTTATAAGCCAATGACAATCATAATTTATGTATACCCTGGAGAATTTGTTAGAGCTGTTATCTTTGAACAGGCAATGAAAGTTCTGGAATTTTCTAACTACTGCGTGTTTAACTTCTGCAATATTAACATTGTAATGTAGTTTTTATACGTGGTGGGTGTGTATACGCACACATGTATTACTGCTGGTCAGAAAACAGAAGAATATTGAAAAATTTTGCAAAATTTAATTTTTGTAGAAAGTTTTTTAAATCAGTATTCCATCCAGCTGTGGTATGTGCATACATAGGCATATAGTTAGAATTGCAATAGGCTGATATGGGCCCAAGAATAGCTGTTTCCATATGAACAAAGGGTGGCTGATCCTTTACATTTCAACATGAGAACCCTGATCCAGAAGATTCTAAAATCATTGGAAAACTCCCACTAATTTAAATTGTCCATACATAAGGCCCAAAATGAACAATCATGCACTATAAGGGTGTTGCTCATATTGTTGTTATTCCCATAGTGCAGAAATTTTAGAAAGCCTGCCTTTTGTAGGTATGAAAATATTCCAATCCGATAAAATGTCTCAGATGCAAAAGACAAGACTGACTAGTTAGAAACAGTTGCATCTTGGAGAGTGTACCAAGTCATTTGTAATTTTTATAGTGGAAGTGTGATGGATTTGACAGATTTCAAACAGGTTCTGGCATCCCTTCCCCAAACAACCAATTACCCCTGCACCTTGTTGAGAGGGTGGTGGATATACATGTGTTTCTCAGAAGAATGTTTATAAGCCTCACTGGCAACAGACAACTATTCCCCCAAGTAGTGATACACAATTGCATATACAAAATGGGAGACAGAAGGCTATCACTTAGGCCGTGTCCAGACTCTGGGGTTTTTTCGGGAAAAGTAGCCTTTTCCCGAAAAAACTTCCCCTGCGTCCAGACTCAAGCCGCGTTCTTTCGAAATTATTTCGAAAGAACGCGGCTTTTCTTTCGATGGCGGTAAACCTCAATTTACGAGGAAGAACGCCTTCTTTCGAAAGTTCCTCTTTCGAAAGAAGGTGTTCTTCAATGTAAAGAGGCCGTCTTCGAAAGAGAGCATCCAGACTCGCTGGGTGCTCTCTTTCAAAAAAGCGGATTTCTCTTTCGAAAGATCCACCTGCAGTCTAGACGCGATCTTTCGAAAGAGGCTCTTTCGAAAGATGCTTTCGAAAGAGCCTCTTTTGAAAGAAGCCTGCAGTCTAGACATAGCCTTAGAGAAAGAGGCATGGGATATTCTGCTTTGTCAGCTGTGGCCAGTCCCTTTATCTGTTACCTTGGATTATAACTAGGTAAGTTTTTCATTTTTTACTATGGTGACTAGGAGTTAAAGCAAAGAGGAGGCTTGTTTCAGTTTTTATGGGACAGAACATTTTTTCACTCCTCTTTTAAAAATGCACAGGTGCTTGCTTGCATTGAACCAAGGAGTGCAGAGCCTCTCATTTGAATTTCCACCATTCTAATCATCCTGTCACATGGAAGCACTGGCTTTTGGTATGACTTGCAATAGGATGCTTAACAGGACATTACTTTGAAATACTGGAGCAAAAAGGGGGGGGGGGAATCCTACCACTATTTGAGGACTATTCCATGTAAAACTGACAGTGTCAGTAATATTGTCACTTTGAATTTAAAAAAAGATATTTTCCAAATGGAAAGTATAATTCTGTTACTAGAGCTAATTTTACCTCTCTCATGAATCATGGCTGCCCAATGACCTTGTTTATCAGGCACAATGTCAGAAGCCTAGTTTTGTGGATCATTCTTATTAGTTCAAAAATAATAAAAGGACAGATGGTTAGAAAGAGACATCAAAATAGTATAGTTTCACTGTAAAGATGGTGCAAGACCAAAGAATGATGTTATTGCAGATTATTTGTAAATTCAATGACATCTAGACAGTGAATCCAGCTTCCATCACAATCAATGGGAGTTTTGCCATTGATCTCAATGGAGCAATATTGGGGGAAGGAAGCTGAAGGAAGCTAGTTAATTCTTAATTTTTTGCCTTTCTCCTTGATTAAGTCCCTCCTTGCATCCATTCACCCAGTGTCTTTTTAAAAATTAACTATCAACCAAGTCACTTCTCACTTGTTTTGATAAATTTAATTTGTTCAGTGGTAGTTAATGTGTTGGGTCAATGTTGGAAGCCTTGTTACTTTGTCATACTTAATAACTTCCATACATGCTCTCTTTTTTTCTAGTCCATGTATTCTTGTAGCAAGAAAGAAATTAAGGTTTAAAACAGGAGACACAGTATAAACAATGTTTGTTGTGCAACCCAAATTAGTTGTGGTTCTGTGTATCTCTATACAGATCCCTGAATGCATTTTGGTCACATTGTTTTTATGCCTGAATGTGCATTTGTCTTGCTCTATTTTTCTTACTACTTGAGTATGCTTCTCCCATATCACAATGTGTGTTGTATATATTCAGAACTAAGGGAGACATTTACAAACGGGTGCTCTGTGCTGTTCATGTACTTCATGTTATAATAATGGATTTCTACATACTCAAGTTATTGCAAGAATGGTTATCATAATATAATATACAGTCATGTAAACTGGCATTGATCTCTGGCAGTTAGGGTTATAATTCTGAAAAGAATATGCAATTTTCATAATATCTTGTTAAAAACAGACCAATAATCTCTTGGATATTAAAATGTTTCTATGTATATTAGATAAAGTTAGTTTTGACTTAAGTGCAACTCTTATCAAGTTTGGTGGAGCTTTACCAATTTATATTGCATCTGCATTTAGCACATACTCCTGGAGATATTAGATTAAGTGCAGTCTAAAAACATGCTGATGCTGTATAACATGATACTCAAGTGACTCACAGGCACATCTCATTAATAGTCTAAAATTCTTAAAGTGATAGTACATGATATTTGCTAGCCAATATGTCAGAGTGTCTGTTCTGAAATTTGGCTTGCAAGTATGAAACAACTAGGAATGAATTACAACTCTAAATTCTTCACTAGTCAAGTTTCCCTAAGACTGTAGGAAGGTATCTGGGAGCCTGGGAGGTTAAGTCCAAGCATAGACTAAAGATTCTTAGCCTTTCAGATTGTGAAGTAATGAGTAATCTGCAGAGATGAAGAGTTTTAATTTGAAAGACTACATGTGCAATATGGTAAGTAGATGTGCACCCTTGTTCTGGAGGTAAGAATGGGATCTAAACAGAATCTAAACAGAATAAAGTTTACTACTTTTTATCCTATCCCTTACCCCGTGTTTATTACATCCACTTGTGTCTGGCCTTTGATTAAAATTGTAAATTCATTAGGGCACAGACTATCTTGTCTACGTTCATACAGAGCATAATGGGGCCTTGATCTGTTCAGGGCTACTAGTTATGTGTTTAATATAAATAATTGGTAAAGTAGATCTCACATGAAGACACAGAACATAAGGGTACAGACAGCTCGTGAGGGGCATTGACACTGTATACTTGCTGGACTACTTCTGTGCCATCCTTTTCTAACTGATTTGTATATAAAAAACATACTATTTAAAGGAAACTTTATTACCATTAAAATAATGTATTACTATTAAAATAATAATGTAAAATAATAATTGACAATTTAATAGCATAAACAATGTCATTAATATATTTGATAAAGAAATATCACAGGTATATAGCACCTTCTATTTGTGGATCTCAAAATCTTGTATAGATAAAATTAAGCCTCACAGGATACCTGTAAATAGTAACATCCCCATTTCACAGATAGAGGAAAAAAGACAGAGGTCACAAGTGACCTCTAATTTGTGAGGCTTCCAGAGGTCTCAAGTTAGATGCACAAAATTAGGGGTCACTTTTGAAAATCTGGGCTTAAGTGACTTGGTGGAAATCACGCTGGAAGCATTTGACAGAACTAAAATACAGTGACTAAAATACAGAACTTCTGACACCTAGTCCTTTTGGCTTAATCACAACGCTATCCTTTTCATCTAGCTTCAGTGGCTGATACCAGACTCCCACACCCATCCCAATAAAGTTAAACAGTGCATAGGAGCTGATGCCTGAGCTCCAAAAAACAGATTTTAAGATGCTAGCAGCTGATCATAATTAACCAAAAATTGGATAAAGCAGCAGGTAATGATGCCTTTTAACCAATTATTCTTCTGTTGACTAGTCTCTGCCAAGTTGGCTAATCTCGGTTTCCTAGACGGAGGTGGGAATACACAATCCATATGCAGAAGAAATGTAGGCGACTGCAAATGTAGGCGACCGAAATTGCTAACGAAGCAGGGATTTAAATATCCCATGCTTCATTAGCGTGATCTCGCCGGCGCGTTACTCCGCTCAACAGCTGATTCAAACTAGGAAGTGCGTGCCGGGACGCATTAGTTCAAACCAAACCTCTTGGTTTGAAATAACGCGTCCCAGCGCACACTTCCTGGTTCGAATCAGCTGTTGAGTGCAGTAATGCTCCAGTGAGATCATGCTAATGAAGCATGGGATATTTAAATCCCTGCTTCGTTAGCAATTTCGGTCGCCTACATTTGCAGTCGCCTACATTTGCATCCCTAGCTCGAACTAGGGAGCAAGTGTAGACATACCCAGAAGTAGTGATGCTAGCAGCACAGAAGTATACACAGTCAGGAAATATTCTCTACCAGTTTCCAGTATCTTCCTAAGTCTTATCTAGGTCAGTTGCATAAGGACAATTTCCCACTGATGGCATCTTACAGGAATCACAGGTTGTACATTTTCCTTACTCCTAGCAACACCATAGAAAAAAATCCAAGATAGAGGGACTCTTCTCTCCTTCTTCTGCTGAGGTAAATGGAGTTCAAGCAACCTAGGATTTGTGAAAGGAGACAAATTTATTAGTAAATGTATTAAGAGAAAAATTCAAAATATGGAAATAATTGTATTTACTTGTGCTAGATTAATAGTCACTGAATAACACATTTTATATTCCCCCTGCCCCTGAATATTATGCCATTGTTTTTGCCCATCTTTCATACATTTGTTTCCTCTGAGTCTACTTCCCCACTGTTAGACTTCCATGTTTCCTTCTGTAAATTCAGAAAATTGACTTTAAAAATGGCATCATTGGAGTTCATGCTTAATGCCTTTCAGTAGTTTCTAAAGTAAATTTACTCAATGTGCAAGTGACAAAATGATTCTGTTACATTTCATAACTTTGTAAGCTCATGTTTTGAGTAGGTAGGTGGGCAAAGAAGAGAGTTGGAAAGATTAGTCTAAACCACCTTTATTCCACCACTGATTCTGTGGGCAACTGATCCTAAACTAAGCCCAACTCCAAGTAAAGAGCAGTCATGCAGCAGCTTTGACTTAGGTCAGCAGGATAGTTCTTTAAGGATTGTTATTTAGGAAGGGTTATAGTGGGGGTGGTGGTGGTGGTGGTGGTGGTGGTGAGAAAACACAGTGCCAACCTGCCATCCAAAAACTCCCTGCACTAGAAGAATCCTCCATTATTACAGAAATTTTAAGTCCTCTGTGCACCACTAGAACAATACAAGGGTACTCAAGGAAGGATCTGACCAAATGCTAGCCCTGCAAATTCAACCCATGAACTAAAAGTCTAGCTTAGTTCTTACTTTCTCATAGATCTCTGCCAATAGTACAGATTCTTCAGTCCAAATTCAGCAATCATGAATGAGGTTAAAATTTTGTCTCAGTTATTTTAGCAAAAGTCATGGACAATAAACAAGGATTAATTGAAGCCGAAGCCCCCATAACTCTTCAGCGCGCAGCTGAAGCGTAATCCACACTGCCAACCTGAACTTTACTGCATGCCCCCAGGTGACAAAAAAAAAGATGACACGTTGAGTACCACAGTTCAGGAGGGCTGAACACCTGAGCTCTGCCACACTAGGGAATGCTGACAGTAAAAACCTGGAACTTACAGAGGTCACAAAAAATCATAGTCTTCTGTGATGGATCTATAGCCTTACTCATGAATGCCTTTAAATCGCTAACATTTTCAAATGGAATGTGATGTCAGCCAGGTTTGGTGAGAACAGCCACACATTAAATATGTCTGTCTTTCAGTTCAGTAGCTTAGGTACCCTATACATCAGAATTTGGGAAGAATATTCAGTGGATGGATGGATGGAATGAGGGAAGAGAGATGTCACTATGAGGCTACATCTATACCACAGGTATTTGTCATCAGACAGTATGCTAATGAAGCGCCTCCTTTTTTAGGCATCTTACGTAAAAGGTTTTTTTTGCGCAAACGGACCCATCTACACTACTTGTTCTTGTGCAAAAAACTCTTGAGCAAAAGCATTGGCAGAGATATGCAAATGATAGCGTGACAAATTCTAATGAGCACTTCATTAGCATACTCTCTACCGACAAATACTTGCAATGTAGATGTAGCCTGAGATGCCAGCATTTCAGCCTTGTTGAACAGAAGCATCTGGAAAAGCATGCATTGAGGTAGAAATGTCCTTTTAGTTAAAACACTTTTTCCCTCCTTCCAGACTCCCCAATCAGAGCTGGATTAAGGGGGGGCCATCCCGGCAGCTGTCCGGGGTGCCAGCCTATGGGGGGGTGCCTGATTGAAGTGGTAAGGGGCGCTGCATGCCCGGGGGCAGGGCTGCGCATATGCTGCATGCCTGGGCATTCAGCAACCCTTACCACTTCAATCAGGCGCCCCCCATAGATTGGCGCCTGGGGGCGTGGCCACGCATGTGCTGCTCGCCCATGGGCGCGGCGCCCCTTACCATGTGAATCAGGTGCCGCGCATGCGCCGTGTGCCCGCTGCCCGGGGTGCAAGTATGGCTCGGTCCGGCACTGTCCCCAATGCATATATGAAGGGCAGCTACCACACATCTCTGTCATGCATGCAATTATCCAGAGAGAGACAATGTCTATACTGAAACTGAGAAACTACCCCATCTGATACAATACTCACATCTGCCATTTGTCACTCATGGAAAGAATGATTTTTAGATCATACAATATATACATGAATGTTCTATTTTTGCCAGGGTTTTAAAAACTGTAATATTTATGAAACAATTGGTTAAAAAAGCTAATTAGCCATATTTCCTTTTATGATCATAATAATTAGAGAAGTGTTAAGGCAAGCAGTTTTGCGTACATTATGGATTATGTCAGAAGTACCAAACAATATTTCCCCTTTAGAGCCACAGAAAGCTGTGTTATATTTTCACAAAAGAATATTTAATAGTTTAAATACAACTTAGAATCAAATTAAAGCTTTTAAAGGAAATATGTTTGGAAAATTGATAGTGCAGGAAAAGAGATACCGTATCCTTCAATCTCTCAAATTTTCTATGCAAACTTTTATTTAATTCTAAGGTGTATATAAAATATAAATGTTGTTTTGGATTTCTATAGGTAAAAAATAAGGAACTAAAGAAAGTTTGTTAGGTTATTTCATTGTTAAAGATCTATTGTGAAGAAGGGAAAGGATACACTAAATTATCTACAATACAATATTGTGTGCTTTGCATAATTAATCCTTTAGTTACTGGATTAACTATCTCAGTAGATTCTACTAGTAAATTACTTCTCCTTCCCCCCAGGGTCGGATTATGAAAGGGACTTTTGGGGCTGCAGCCCACCGCCATGGACTAAGTAGGACTCCCTTAGCCCGGGGCCCTGGGATGCAGCTGCTAAAGCCCCTGCATACTGTGCTCTGGACCAGCTCTGCCTGGTAGGAAGGTGGGAGATGGGAAAGTGGCTCAGCATGCTGCCATTTCCTCTACCCCCAGGGTTGGAGCTGTGTGCATTGCCAATAGCACAGGGAAGTTCTCTGTCCCTGCATTTGTCTGCAGGCTTCTCCCCTGCTGCTCCCATTGGCCAGGATTTGCGGCCAATGGGAGTGGTGGGGGAAGCACTAACTGCAAGCGCAGAGTGGTGTAGAACCGCCTGTTTCCCTCTGTCAAACAGGAGCTATGCCAGATAAGCGCCCCAATCCTCTGCCCTCTCCTGCGCCCCCACCTCATTCCTGCCCAGACACTGTGCCCTCATCCTCAGCTCATTCCTGTATCCCCATCTCCTGCCTAAACTAGGGATGTGAAAGTGTAATTATGTACACGGATAACCGATGAGTCAGGGCTCATCAGTTAACATTCATGGTTACACACAAAGTCCCATGGCTTAAAAACCAGCTCCCCAAGTGCACCAGCTCCTGGGTAGTTGCCTGCCCTTCTGCACTGCTGCCTCTGATACAGGCATGGTAAGGGAGAGAGGAGGCGGGAGCCGACTGCTGCCTCACGTATAACCACTGAAATTTTTAGCAGTTATATGGTTACTTAATTACATGCAATTTAGCATCCCTAGTCCAGTCCCTGCACCCTCTTCCACCCAGACCCCACAGTGCCACCCCTCTTCTGCATCTTACCTCTCACATAAATCTTGCATCCCCACTCTAGCCCACTATCTAGCAGTCTCCTTCCACACACTGACCCCCTCATTTTTGGCCCTGACCCAGAGCCTAGGGAGGCCCCACAAAATCTATTAGCCCATGCCTCCATAAAAGTTAATCTGGCCCTGCTTCCACCTAAGGATCTCAAAGCATTACAAACATTAATGATGTGTATGAGCTAAACTGCTGTCTGTGTGAGATACTATATTACTGTTTGCTGAAAGAGCTTGGAAACAGAAAAAGTATTCACACAGTTATAACCATTTTTATAGGTTGCACTTATGCAGTCTGCAGAGTGGCCATAAATTAAAAATAACCTAACCAAACACAGCTGACTTCTTAAATGGTTAGATTTATGTAGTGACTTCTACCACTTTTTGTGACATCTTCTAGTTTGTTAAAGAAATACACATGTGCTTTGTCATTCTCCAGTACAAAACAGGTCTTTCCTCAACAAAAAGAGTTGCTAACTGCCCTAATGAACAAAAACAATCTTCAAAATGATCCTTACAAAGCTCACCTATCTAGGAAGATGCAGAGAAAATTGACCTCACTAATCCACAATATGATTTCAATTAATGTTATATAAGGAATTCACAGTATACTACAATGGTAGGCACAGTAGAAATCCATAGCTGGAAAAATAGATCTAGGTTTCATTTAACAGTGAAGCTTTTCTAAGTAAATTCCAACAACTATAAATGCAAAAGTGTCGAAGATGCTTTTTATGGTGCTTCCTGAGCGTTTTAACTGAAGCACATGAGCCAATGAAAACGTAATAGAAATAAATCAAGTTTTGTAGAGAGAAAATCTACAAAACCTCTTTAAATCAATGTCATACTACAGATAAAAACACAATATATAAAGACCACAAAATAGTCTAACTTATGTCCTTGCTTCACGAGATGGCTTTTTTCATACATTAGTACAAATTATTGGAACAGGTTTGTTAAAATGTTAATCAGAGTACAGTAAAAGCATTAAAGAGCTATAGCACACAAGTAAGTTTTTTTTCTACTATTGTTACATATTAAGCAGTAATAAAACTGATGTGTAAAATTGTTTGTTTACTTTCTATATTTCAAAACATTTGGGGTGGAATAATTTTCACTGTTTCTCCTGTTTAATCAGTTTCCCCTTTTGTGCACATCTTACATTACAGTGGAGAGAAAAGATGATTGTGTACCAACAAAATTGCAAAGAAATGGAAGGACAGATGCAGTAGTACCTGAAGTCCAGTCAATTTTAAAATTGAGTTAGAAACCTTTTTGAGCTCCTACTGTGCCTTTAGGTAATATGAAAACTACTTAGAACAGTTCCTGATTTAATATAAAATGAAACACACTGCAAAATTAGTTGAATCTCAAAATGTTTATTATAGGAATTAAAGAACTTGAAATAAAATATGATGATGATGATATAAACTG